CTTCGTGAAAAGCTGTTTCCTCTTGCAGATTGAAATTATTCCCAGCAAGTTTTTATCTAATAGAAGATTTTTACTATTCGAAATTCAAGTTTCCAATTCTGAAGGTTCAATGTCTAACATTTGTTGACGAGTCGGGTTTAGCACCCAGGCGGAAGGTTGCCCGTCAACGGCCTATGTTTGGAAATGAGATCTAAAATGTAATTGCCCACCTCAGTAGAACCAGTAAAAGCAACTTTGTCGACGAACATGTGTTCTGCTATGGCGTTTCCAGCTGTAGGACCATACCCCGGGATGATGTTTACAACACCAGGTGGAAATCCGGCCTGTAAACGAAACATCAAGCGTTATTAACCGAATTACAGAAAATGATTCGACCTAAAATAATCTACAGTTCACGCTATAAATCTTCACATTATTATGATACATTAAATGCATAAACTTCAATACGAAACACTGCGCTATGGGCTCTCTCAAACAGGGGCGCCTACATCGGGGGGGGGGGGCTGCCCCTACTGCCCTCTTCGAAGAGCGGCAGAGGGGGCAAGAAGTACCCTGAAACATAAGAAGATATTATAGAAACTTATCGATAATTGATGACCACTTTGACCACTCTCGTTATGATAATTTATCATAGAAAATATTAGAAATAGGATAACACCAGCACAAAATCCCAAAGATTGAAAAATCTGTCTGTGACAAGATGGGCCACAAGAGGGAGAGAGGCAAAGATAATAGATGATTAACAAAGACTCAGAAGTACTCCAGGAACCTATGGAGGATAAATCGATATTAAAACTTACCGGGCAATCAAAATTTTACAACCAACCCATTTATAACAGCAATGATTTTTATAAAACCAAATATTGTGAATAGTAACAAGGCCATTTAATACCCAATTTTATGTATGGATAATTTCGTCAACATTTTCTCTATGTTTCGAATCTTTGATGTTAAAAGAAACCCAGCTGCCCCATACCCCCCCCCCCCCAAAAAAAATTCTGCTGCCCCATACTTTTTAAAAGGTTTATGGCAATTGTAACTTACCTCTCTGATAAGGTTTGCAACATAAAGACCAGTGAGGGGAGTTTGTTCGGCCAATTTCATAACAACAACATTCCCGGTAGCAAGAGCCGGACCAAGTTTCCAGGCTTGCATCAAAAGAGGGAAGTTCCAAGGGATGATTTGTCCAACAACACCAATCGGTTCTCGACGTGTGTAATTGAAAAAGTTTCCATCTGTGGGAGGATATTTCAAGTTTTAAATGATATGTCATGGATTAAAAATGGAAACTTTTATTATAGAACCTACAAATACAAAATGCTTGATAAAAGGATATGCATAAATTTGAACGTTGTTAAATATATTGTAATGTTGGGAAAGAGCCTTTCCTTGACATAAGACTTCATCCTATACAGATATTGTATTTTTAAAGAATAATGCCCTTGAAATGCCCTGTAACAAATATCTTGGGCAATAGGAATAAAGTATTGTATCACATGATGGAATGCTTAAACATTTTCTTTCAAAGCTCCTGCTAAGAGTATTAGAGGAATTCCCTGGCATTTTAGCATAAATTACATGGCCCGCGCCACAGAGAGGCCTCTCCACATCCTCTCCATAATGTGAAATAAAAATTATCTACAAAATTAGCGCTTTATTATCTTCCCCAGGGCATGAAAAATTCCTTTCTTCCTGCGACCGGAGGAAAATCATGCATAAATTTCCTGCAAGAATGGGAAGATAAAGGAAAAAAGGGTTCCAACAACAGTAATGATGTATTATCAGTTGTTGTGAATGAAAGGAAAAGATAAGGTTGAAGCAATTTTATTACCACTACAAAATTTCAGTTTTGTTGGCTGAAAATTATTCTTTATTCGTGAACACCTTAATTGATCTGGAATAGGGCCTTAACTACGATATAAACCTCCTAGCTGGTTAGAATACTTTTATCAAACAAGTATTTTCAAAATCATTCTAAAGGGTTTCTAGGTAGGAAAATCGATTTAGCCTGTACAAGGGACCTACATAAGATAAGCCACTTTTATCTTCATGTTTTTTCTTTTGATGAACATGAAAGAAACAAAGGTACTTTTTGCAAAAGGCTTTAATGTAAAAGAATTTTCGCAGAACTTTATGCATGAAAAATTTTTTTGCGACCGCCGCGCGCCCGATCGCAAGGTCTGGTGGGTTTTTATGCTCTGATTTTTTCACAACATGGCATTTCCCTTGAACCTTGAAAACCTCTTTCGAAGGGGATAAAATCTTACCAATACAAAAATGGGGTAGCAACAACTGCTTTTTAGGAGTGCTCGTACTCCTTTGCTTCCAATGATAGATTTCCTTCTGGTTTTAATGTTCTAAAAAAGTGCCTCTCAAATAATTCTATCCTTATTACGCTACTGAAATAACTACACTAAATTAAGAAAATAATAAACGCTACATTACCAACTGGGATGGTTTTCCCGTGGATTTTGTCAGCCCATCCAGCATAGTAGCGCAAGCAGTTGACTGACAAAGACAAGTCGGCGTTATAGGCATCTGAGAATGGCTTCCCATTGTCCAAAGACTCCAAGGCCTAAACAGAATTGAGACTCCAGAATATTGGAAACAGGCTCGTCAAAAAGATAGCCGAAAAGATATCCAGTAACATGCTTTTGCAATATCATGCTCGAAGCTCCGGGCCTCAACATCGTTTGAATATCGTGCAACTGAAAACGTTTGGTGAAACGGGTTTGAACAGGGACGGACTTGGATTGGCATGGAGGAGGGTGGAAGGGATTGGCATTGCAACGTCCCCTATAACCTGTGTCATTCGGTGAATCTTGCTATGATTCGGTAAAAATCTTTTTTAATAACTGTGTAGTAATTAAATGACGCCAATATATTACTTTCATTATCTTCTTATCTTCTCTAAAAACCAGAGATCTTCTGAAGGCCTAAACCTACTCAAAGTACAACCGGGTCGGAGATTTTGATAACGCACTCATATTTCTTACAATCCTCCAACATAACGCATTATGAAATTTCACTATGGTTGTTTTTTGAAATCCCACTGATCACTAAATACTCAATCTTTACTTCTAAAATTGTAGAAAACATGTCATTCTGGTTTTGAAGGAGAAGGTAGTTGGATAGTAGGGGGAGTTTGAGCAGAAAGCGTTTCATCTCCGCAAATGCAACAGCAAAATCTGAAAATATTTAAAAATTTCTTCCCTTCAGCAAAGCTTCATTTGAAATTCAAATATGTGGAACATGGCCATCATCATCTCGAGAGTCATCGCAAAAAACCTGGTTTTAAGAGTCATATCAATTTATCAACATGCCATTTAATTATCTGCAACAATTAACATACTTCTTTGCTTCAAACTTGAATTGGTGACTTTTTTTGTACAATTAAGAAAAAACTTAACAGTATTTTAAATTTAAGTTATGGAAAGATTTGCTGTCTAAGTAGACAGAAATTGAAACCAGAAGCTACCTTACCATAATGCCTAATCTTAATAACATATAACCATAGTAAATCGCGGAACAGACTCACAGCAAGGTACTCTTTGTCTCTCTCCATTAGGTCTGCCAAGCGATTGAGCAGCCTTCCACGCCCAGAGGCATCCATGGTCCTCCAAGGACTTCCAAGTTTAAAGGCCTCTTGAGCTGCCTTCACTGCAATATCAACATCAGCCTAGAAATTGAAGAAAAATTAAATAATTCACCATAGCACAACAAAGCTTGACAACAAAATTATGCAGAACCTAAAGATCTTAATTTTTGAACAATAAAGAGGGGACAAGGTTTTTAAGAAAATTAACAAAAAGTCAATGTGTCTAAAACATGTCATGACCCAGTAGAGCTTAAAAATAACTCCAGAAGCAGGAAGCAATACATGTTTCAACACAGCTATATCTGCTAAAATCTATCAACGACACCACTTTCCCAAAAAAGGGAGAACCTATTAACATCCCTCTTTCCCAATATCCTTTTTATATAAGGCCTTAAAGGAAGATGTAGTAGAATCATGAGCAAATCCTAGGCCATTTTAAACATATATAGAAATCTTCTTGTCTCTTGTTGCTGTCTGGAGCTGACAGGATACTATGTAAACCCTTGAACATAATCTACAGATAAACTAAACTATAACAGTGATGCCAGAAGGGGGCCAGAACAAGGTGATAACTGCTCCTGTACCTTTGACCACAGGGGCAGGAAAGGGGGCAGAAAGTGCCTATGTGGTCGCACTGTCATGGAATTCTAGTGTTCAAATGAGAACAGAATGTTTCATGCCTACCCATGACATATATTTTTTTGCATTTTCAGAGCATTGGATACCATGACATTATGAATAGAGTTCTAAAGTGTGATGTCATCAACAACCTATTTTTAGAATTTTCGAATTTTAACAACATAACATAAAAGATCATCATAAAATACTTTCAAATATGCAAAATTGGCTAAATATGTCTAAAATCGGTTGAGATATGGACAACAAAAGATTTGAAGTTTGCTAACAAATCACTGTTATTTTGGCTCTGTTCATAAAGTTATGATGGTTTGATGGGGGAAAGAGCCTATACACATGTCGCCATATCTCTGCCAATTCACAGCACAATTGACTGATTTTGCACATTTAGAGGTATTTCGTGATGCTCTTTCAGGTTATGGGATCCAAATTCAAAAATTCTAAAATTAGATTTTTGTGACGTCATCACTTTAGATTTCTATTGATAAAAAATCTTTCTCATAAAAAAGCGCAATTTACTACTGGAACTGGGTCTGGTTGAGGGGTCTTCAAGGTGAGTGAGCCAAACAAAACTTCACCCTTTACACATTAAACAATATATGCAAAACACAAAAATGTACTCTAGAGGAATAACATTATTCCCTTCCCCTCATCTTTGTCACTTCAAAGATAAGTCTACCTTTTGACATTCTAAATGAAAAGTACTTTTAAAAAAAGGGTTGGAGCAGAGAAAATGCTGTAACATTCTTAATAGTTTACAAAGTAAAGTGCAACAAAATATAATTATTGCTTCAGCCAAACATTAAGGTGCGGGAGCAGCAAATTTCCAGGGGAGTACCACAGACATTTATGCATTCACCCATTGGCCCACTGTTCCTGTGCCCAGGAGCCCCTTAAAATTCTTAAAATTTAGGGGGCCCCAAGTAAAATTTGTAAAAGCCTAATAAAATGTTGTTGATTTCAATCTTGTGTTTGAATTGGGTATTAAGGCCTTCAGAAAACGCAATTGGTCCTATTTCATATATTGATTAAATCAACAATTTAAGAAAAGTTAGAAACTACATTGGATGTCAGACTATTTATTTTGTCCCAACCATAAGGTCCTTCCTCTGGGCTCCTGAATCTTGCGGTCTTGTCCATAAAAATTCATGGTAGCAGGATCATATGACAAGTACTATGCATGTGACACAACTTTTTTGGGGTATTCTTAAGGGCCCCAATCAACTTTAGGCCCAAAGCGCTGACAAATGTAAGTGTGGCCCTGACCATAGAACCCCTCTCTTTTCTCAGCAATTGGTAAAAGTCAGCCTCCCTTGCCCTGTCATGCTTCCAGCATGACCCCCCCATATTTTTGCATGATGCCTTATTGGCCATATTTTCATGCGTGAAATTGTGAAATCTCGATTTTTTGCGTGATTTCATGAATTAAGATTCCTATGTAAGGCGTGAAACATGAGACATGAGTTTTCCTTTAATTATGTCGTGACAAGGCTCTAACTATCTTTGAATCATGAATGAAATTTTCAATGATAATTTAAAAATTGCCTCAATTTGGTGGGTAATAAACCAATAATGTGATATGCTACCTCTGTTTGTTTAAATTTCCTGTCGTTTCTGCTGATTTGTAGAGCTAGCAAAGTGTAGACATTCAAAGTTTGAAAAAATTGTTCAAACAATAACTATATTACATTTAATCTAGTAAAAAACTGATACCAAAACCCCAGAAAAGCAAAAAGGTCTAAAACCCCTGTCCTTTTTCTTTCATTAAGTGGACTCTTAAAGGCTTTTCTGACATACCGTAAAAGCTCTATTAAGCCCCGGGGGGCTTGTTTATATTTTTCAGTTCAGAGGGGGGCTTAAAAGAGAGGGGGCTTATTAGAGAGAGGGGGTTCATCTAAAATTTTGAAGCAAAAAATGTTTTCAAGATGCCCTTGATCATTTTTTGTTATGAAAATGCCATAAAATTTCCTCAAAAAACTTTGCTAGCAGCTTCAAAACTTTAATTAATCAATTATAAGGTACTTATCTTCATCAACATCACCAGGATAAATTGATAGCCCTTGGACATCTTCAAAACAGATTTTGACTGACAACTTAGTCCCACTAGTAAGTCTCTACATAGGTGTATTTTAAACGATCTTATCATCATCACACCCATCAAGAGACCCACTGAATATGCATGTTTTCTATGTCTGACATCAAAGGCGAAAGAGGGGGGCTTATCTAAAGTTGTTGCTTGACAAGGGGAGACTTAAAAGAGAGGGGGGCTTACTGTACTTATTTCATTCTAACATACTTATTAATTCATCTTATTTCAAACCTCACTGATCCCTAGGTTACTAAGCCCCAACTCCTTGCCACAAATGAATCACTATCATTCAGTCAATCCTTAGCATATATTGTATTATTGTATACCTTATCACCTTCTGCAACATGACATATTACATCCCCTGTGGATGGATCAACTGTTGGGAATACTTTCCCACTGACAGCATCCTGGAATTCATTGTTTATGAAGACCTGCAGAAGCAAATTAAACATTAACTTAATGTCAAAGAAATACATTCCTTTTTAATGGATAAAACCTACAAACTTACATTTGATAAATTCTATTTAAGCATCTATGCTAAGTAATGTTTAATGCCCTCAAAAATGATGATTCCAAGAAATGGAAAACACAAAATAATTCACTATTCATGGGAAAGCGTTTTTGGAACTGGTAAAACATTCTTCATTAAGTTTCTGGACCAAAATGGTTGGCTTCATACACCTGGAACATCAGTGCCATGGAGGAGCTGGGGGACACATACCCCTCCCACCACTTCACAAAAGGAACAGCTTTGTATTATTTCTAGCTCTGATGAGACAATGTTCAGGGAGAGATAATATTATAGCAAAGTATTTTCCTATGACTTGCTCTATTATTTTGAAACTGATTTTGTGTAGCAAAATGTTAGTCATGGGTAAAATTAGAGGTCCCTGTTGGTAAAAGAAGGTATTCTGATAGTACAAAGAGGGATTCTCATATGATTAATTCTGATAGATGGGAATTCTGATAATATTTTTTAAACCACCCCCCCCCCCCAAAAAAAAGCCCTGTGGCTGTAACCTCCACTAGTACACATTTACAGATTTTGTGGGCAGGGTTAAGGGCAAAGAAAAGAACATTATTGAACTTTGCAGCAACAGAGTAACCTTGATCAGTTCCACCATTCATGTTTTTTTAAAAAACCAAACTTAAATGCTAAATTTAGGCAAAAACTTACTTGGTTAAAATGAACTTTAGGAGCAGAAATGACTCTGGAAGCAGCAGCCTGACTGGCAAATCTTGATAAGCTCAATGCTAGAACAGGAAGATTTTTATGAAAAAGAAAATTACGATTTAATCTATATAGGACAACGTTTACCAAGAAGGAACATTTTTGGTGTTAAGCACTTTTTTGATTACATGGAAAGAGGCATTGGCAGGGTTGCTATGTTTTCCTTGGGGTGGCCAAGTCAATTTTTGAGCCCTATCTATTTATCGTGGTTATAAAAAAGCATGTGTTTCTAGATGGGAAATCAATTTTTGCAACATGAATTCAACATTTCATGAATAAGTTTTAATTAAAAATGCGAGTATGAATGGAAAAAATTACGTAATCCTAACATTTGACCTTCACATTCGTGGTTCTGTAAAATGTCCAGCTATTTTGAATTTGGCTTTTTTTGAGAGTCTGCCTATTTTCGAGGAAATACGGTGGCAAAACATGAAGTACTAATCAAAAGACATTCTATTAATTTACATTGATGGTTCATACAGGCTGGTAGCCCCTTGAATTTGTTTATTATATCCAGAATACCAGCTTCAGAGTAAAATAACGTTGTAACTCTGAGATAATTTTTGTTTTAGGCTCCTTCATTTTTTAACTTAATAAAATCTTGGTCCATTATGCCACTGCTTATTTTATCAGCCTAGTGTTATCATATTTTTGATGTATGATATACAAAAATGGCTCAAGTTTGTTATTTTTTAATAGTTATTAAATTGTAGTTCTTTCAACAGCTTGAAAGTTTCAAGCATTTAATCGCAAGAATGAATCGGACAGAGGCCGCAGCACAAAATTGAGTCCGAAGGGGGGCTAAGAATCAAGATTAGTGACATAGCAGGATCCACCATGGTTGGGTCCAACGCGCAAGAAAATTTTGAAATCAACCCTTCTCGATTGGCTAAAAATGCATCTCCCATAATAAAATTTAACAAATTACTATACTGCTTAGAATAGTCAGTTTGACAATGCTCAGAATCACATTGATTTTTAATTTTTTGAAAAAATTTGGGAGGGGAAGAAAGAAAAGGTCACCTTTGGTTCAGAGTACACATCAATGTAAATAACAAGAAGCTGCTGTATTGACTGCCAGGGTGCATTCCATGTACTTAGACCTGAAGATCTTTGTTGTAGACTCAGGTTTTTTGGCGTTCCGAGTACAAACAAACAGAAAAATTTTTGCATACGTAAATCTTCATTAGTTGGCGTGCTAAACATGAAGTCACGTACACAGTTAACACGAAAACATATGACACACATGTTGATTGGGTCATGGCAACACAACATGCTTTGATTGTAGAATCATAAGTTTTATTAGATTGTTCATAGCACAGTAGTGGTGTTCTACCAGTGTACCATCAATTTTGATGTTCCTAGCCAAATATTAGAAGCAAACTTTTTTGGCACCCCCTTATCTCCATTTGCGCCCATATTAAGGGGGGCATTGCCCCCTGTCCCCCCGACCCCCCTGCCATCATGCCACTGGAGAATGGGCTAGCCTAGTTGGAAGGGATACAGTCTTCTGCTTGCCAAGGTAGCCTAGTATTGCAGGCAGAAGATGAAAGTTTTTACTTATGTTATCAATTTAAGCCAGCCTGGCAGATCAGGCTGCAGATTTAAACAAATATCTGGCATAAAAACGTAAATCAAACCATTAAACTGAAGAAAAGACAATGTAAAAGACCCAAAATTTTAAATCAAAGCCCTTGTAGCTCAAAACAGGAAGCGTTGCAGTCACTATAACTGCAAAAATTTTACTGTACATTTTCATACAATTGTTAGGAAGTCTCAGCCCAGATGACTGAGACCTAACAACTGGGCCAGCCTACTCCGTGTAATAGGCCCCCTAATGCAATGTTTTTGGTAGGGTGCTGATTCAAGGTGCTTAGATTCCCTAAAAAAATTGAAGGTTATTCAAAATCCATAAAGCTTGTCATCAAAGCTTCTTCACTTTTTATGATTAGTTCAATTTGAGATAAGAAATTTTGCAAATCAATTTTGACAACAAAAACATAGTAAAATGCTTCATACAGTAAAAATAAGTTTTCCATTGTATAGGCATGTGATTTATCATGGCTTAAATCATGATATATATAAATGAATATGCTGTTGGGAGGCCACCATTTTTACTTCAAAGACGATAAACATAAAAAATCCTCAAGAATCTTATTTCACTCAAAAAACAAATCTGTGCAAGTCTTCAAACATAACTCTAACAAACCAGCACAGTATAATGGATGCAATACTAAGAGTCTGAGAAACGTGCATAGGTGCAGAGCAGTCTTCTCCTCTAAAAGCAATTGCCTCTAGGCTAGCATATTTTTGCTCCTTTCTTGTATATGTAAGTATTTGTTTCAAATGTTTGTATCCAGGCATACTTAACTTGCCCCGCCAGACTCAACTTGTTGCCCTAACACTCAAAATTAAAACTATTCATTGTATTGCCCAGCATCCATTGCTTTTCTTAAAATTTACTCATGGTCTGGGCCCCTTTGCAGTCTTTGCCCCACCATAAAAAATAATTGTAACATGCTCTAATTATTCAACGAGCCACGACCCTCTTTCCTTTTTTACTGTTGTCCTGCGCAAGCATTATTTGTCGCTTATACAGATTCTACACTACATCTTCTACAAAACGATGTGAAAAATTAAAAGGTGATCTTACAAGGTACTTTTCTTACGCAACCAAGAATCTTGCTGGAGACTGAAGCCATTTTTTCAACAATGCAAGCAACGCAGTACACCAAGCTTCCAAAACGTGTTGACGATCAACAAGTTCACGTGACCATGGAAAGATCCCCAGGAGAGGTCCATAAGGCTCCTCCGCAGGGCAAAGGGGTTTTAATCGAGGGGGCCTCATAAAGTAATCTATAAGTTGCATCAAAAACAGCTGTAGTATCTTGATTAAACCCCAATGGGGACTCATTAAAGTGCAAAAATTAGAATGATTATTCTGTAATTCAATTGGAAAGATTATTTTGTAGCTTTTAAAGGTAATGTTAATTTAGAATCGATATGTGTAATGTTATGGTCGCAGGGTTCCTATGTTCTTCCATGTTCACTGTGGTATCGTCTTGTCACGGGTTAATTGTAAACTTTATGAGAATATAAAAAAACTTGAATTTGCTTCGGAGGCATTGTAGCAAGATCAGTGCCTCTGGTAGGCCAACGAAGATTTATAATAATACATAAAGAATAAATGGCATCGTATACAGTTTCCATTATGCTTCGTTGACGAATGGAGAATGAAAAACAAACTACTGCAAAATTTAATCCTAAATACTTTCCTGAAACTTTAAAAAATACTTCCTACATACACTTTTGCTAAAGGTAGCATTATTCTACCCATTAAAAATATTATTCAATCAGCTGAAAGCAAAAGATACAAATACGGACAAATCTTTATAAAAATAACGTTTACCTTTGGTTATTGACAATTGTATAAAAGTAATTTACATTAAATCATAGTGGTCCTTTAATAAGAAAACAAATAAAAGTTTCTGTTTTCATTCGGGGATCACTTTTTATGGAAAAAGCTAGTCTTTGAGACACTTGATATCTGGCTTGGTCGCGTGGCAAACAAAGTTCCATTCTAAATGTAGATATGACCATGTGTGAATGAATCTGGTCTATGGAATCAACTGTTGGTTGCTTTGCTTTAGACGCAGAGATATCGTCAATTCAATTCGCGAGCCTGTAGATTCAAATGTGCCAGTGCAGAGGTGTAGCTGTTCGAGAGACGCTTATCTCTTATAACATGCCAATATTTGAAACTGCAGTCGTAGCTTTGACATTAGTTACATTGAAAGTCTTGCCGATGTATATTGAATGAGTGTGCCATCTGGTCACTTAATACTTAAAGAGAAAGGTGAAAACAAAATTAATGAACAAGAATAATGAGAATTTGATAACTCTGGTGTAAGGTAAAACATAAAAAAGCAGAGAACAGAAAATACAGATGCAAATGTGAATAATAAGCAGCCTATGAACGTCCAACACATCACAGAGTATTAAAGTTCAACAATAGAACCAACGATTGAAACTGTTGGTTGAAATTCTCCTACATGAAAACATGGCCTACTGCGGGCTTGCTGGCTTTTTCTTGGCCAATCAATATCCTCTGCCCTGACTAGAACATGTTGGATGACGTTCCTGAATATGCAAAAATCATGAGCCAAGGTTGACGAAACAGCAAGCCCGTCCCCTTTAATTACGATTGCAATTTTCATAAGCGAGGACAGCTTGTTCTGGTAACTCAAATACTCTCGGCTTTGCTGTAGCATCCAAACCACTTTTGTATAGCTAGGAACTTAATTTTTTTATTGAGAAAACAAACTATTTTCTGCACAAGGTCGCTTATATTTTACTGGTGTGCCAAATCACCCAATCCATAATCTTGCCCCCAATCCGTATCAAGAACATTGTTTTCCTCAATCCTTACCCGTAATCTTTAACAATTCATCACCCAGTTCATAATCTTGCCCCCAATCCGGATTATGATCCTTTAACAATTCATCATCCAATTCATAATCTTGCCCCCAATCCGGATTATGATCCTTTAACAATTCATCATCGGAAAACATGAAATAATTTTCATCTTATATAGATAATTACATGATTTTGCAAATGTATTTGCTAAGGGTAAGTTTTCTGAGAAATAATTAGCTTACATCCACTCTCAGCATGAAATGGAAGATTTTCGTATACGTGACATGCATACGGTCCTGCTGGTAATGAAACTTTCTTTCGCGGCAATGGCGGAGGAACATCGACAGTGTCAGGCATGCCCCCAAAGACTTCATTCTCGTTCCATGTCGGCTCAACATTGATGTATGATGGTCTACATCCACGCTGGTGAAGTCCTAAAATTTTGATGTGGTCGATTTCCCATTTAAAACTTGCTTGAAAAGATATTCAAAGCAACAAACAAAGAAAAGGGCCAGCTGAATTACACTCCTATAGTTTCTACATTGATGCAAAGTGATGAAGAAATAGAGTTCTTAAATGATGAGGTCACAAAAATAATTACTTTAAACTTCATTGGCCTCTGTTCATAACTTTTTAGCACGGCCAAAGTAAGATTTAGTCCGTTAGCAAACATCAAACCTTTAATTGGTCATAACTGGCCATAGCCCTTTAATTGGTATTTATAGTGTTCTTCTAGGTTTTGTGGTCAAAATAAAAATATTCTTAATACAATATTTTTATGATGTCACACTTCAGAACGATAAACGAGAAAACGCACAAAAGACAAGAAAGCTTGAAAAGTTTACACATTAATAAGGTATAAATTGTAAAAATTTGCATCGAAAGATAGAAAGAATCATCGAACTTACGAATTGAGTCACTGTTCGCATAACTAGGCAGGTCAGGAAGCGGCCTCCCTTTCATTGTAGATGTACCTGATATTAAGGAGATAAGAAATGCTTGTCAAGCCACAGCGTGATATGTTAATTGGGGTGGAATAAAAAGACAAAGTATTTCTTAAGTTGAAAAATACTGTTTTATAAAATAATTTTCGATTATTCAAAGAAAACTTGGAACACTGCATTGCAAATGAAATCTAAACTGGCAGCAGATCTTGAGGTTTGAATTCGTACAACATTTTTCTGTCCAAGACCGAGATATCGGGGGGGGGGGCAATGGTATAAGACAAATACTTTGTTTTGTAAAATATGGCTGTTCTTAAACTTATTTACCAGGGCCCCCCAACAAAACGTTGTATCTCGGTTCATGGCCCCGTTTGATATTTTAGGTAATAGTTTAGAAACTAACATTGTTCTAGAGAAAGGGGATACTTTCATGGCAACAAGATATTTTTAACCTTTTAAAGGTGTGCTTCTGCTACAGGCTTTTGCTATCAGAGGTGATTAGAGTACGTCAGGAAGTTAAACACTCAAAGATTGATAAAAAGAATAAAAAACATTTTTAAAGGTAGTAACATGTCTAATATGTCGTAAAGGTACACAATTTTATCGATGTTGATTTATTAGAATTTGGACATAAAACCAATAGAATTTATCATAATATGCTATATTATACATAGTCACACATTATAGCAGACTTTTTGCAAACCTTTAGTAAACTCATAATTAAACATTTTGTTTCAATGCTGAAAGGTCTTCCACGTCTTTTTTAAAAGGAAACTCTTTCAAAAATAATAAAACTTTAAAAGCATTCATTTACATCAATGCAGTTGGACTTCTTTTCTACAAGTTAAACTTTTAACATTAGGTGGAATAATATAATTCAGAAATGTTGAAAAGTCGTCTAACAACAAATGCAAAATTTAGATACGAGGCAGCATGTTTTCATTATTTATTACTTATGTGAATTTAAATTATTTTTAGACATAAAAGATTCGTAGATTGAAAAATCCCATCTTCTTATTATCAACTCCTTAGCAATAGAAACACTGAGGCTAGGACTAATTATCTTTACAATGCTTTGGTTAATTATGCAAACACATCTTTAGCTTGATAAATAGGGGACCTTTGTAGTAGAACATTTCTGAAAATTACAAGTTTCAATATACATATCAGAGTTCATAATACTAGCGCGAAAAAAACAACTCTTAGAGGAGAAATCAAAATTCCATAAGCAAATTAAAAGATAAACGTGATAAGCAAAAGAAAATATTACCAGGTAATGAACGAGCTTTCCTAGTTTTTTCTCTACTGAAATCCGTTTGATGTGGAACATCAACAGACCGTACAACACGCGGACTGGGCAACGACGGTGGAGGCGAAGTTGGGCTCGATGTTAATGGGCTGCCATTTTGATTTGGTGAGTTTATTGCATACGGATTCTCGGATAATTTCCTCCCTGAAACACAAACATGGCGATATGTCATCGATGGACTCTTTAAACAGTCCTGGTACCATTGAATGAGTGAGAATGTTTTCTGAAAGTGTTGGCATATGAAGTTAGATTTCTGCAACGTTTCAACAGAATCCAAAGCTCCTCTACAAACGATGTGGCTTTATGTAGTCTTTAGACTTTCAGTGTTGTCCAATTGATCACAGTCAGAATTTTGTTCAGCTCTACAGCCAAGGCTCCTTTAAAGGGGAATGGGTGAGGTATCTCCACTATTGGCAGGGATTGTGGGTAAGCATACACGTTATGCAATTGAACCTACCCAACATTCGTGAAAAATATAACTTCAACGAATATGTGTTAATTGACCGTCAACTCAATATAAAACTATGTAGCAACTGAAGCTAAGAAACCTTTCTTCAAAGAATCCTAGAACTTTTTCATGTCAGCTTTGGATTTTTAGGCCCGCTATTGAAACAGTGGGGTCAGAAACTAGGCCAAATCAAAGGTGGGGTCAAATAAAAGCAAACTTCGATTAGTCTCTTACAGTTTTTAGAATGCAGAGGGGCGTTGTAAGTTGTACTCATTCGAGCGTGTGGGCTTATTCGATAGTGTGCGCTAATTTTTATGTCTGCCTTTACTCGAATGTGTTCGCTTGTTCAATCACGTGCGCTTGTTTGAGAATGTACAGCTTTTAACCATTGGCGGGTTAAAGGAAGAATACTTCCCATAGCCCTGATTGCAATACCAAAAGACAAGCCTAATGATGTTGAGTGCCTAAAATGTTGACGTCAAGTGTTTACGATAGATTTATATTGGTAACCCCTACCTCCAACATGTCGTGGCGACTCTTCTTGTTTGGTTTCTTCCTGACCATCTCCTGATCGTCGTTCTAGGACTATAAGTCTCAATTATGGAACAAAATCTTGAACAGACAGTAGTTACAATGTTTTTTTAAAAGCAATGACATTGCACTTTACGTTGCTTCCAATCAATCATAAAATAATTTCACTGAATATAATAAACACAGAGGCTAAGGAAAAATCTGTATAGAGCTTTCGGAACTGTGGGCACTGAGAACTAGATATGCAGAATATGCACGTATTCTTCTCTGGCGCTCTTCTTGTACAGGATAATAAGGTATCCTACAGGTCCTTTTCTAGAGAGAATCCTTTCAAAATCTCAAACAGCAGGTCCGTGGGTCTTGGAGAGAAAAACAAGTGGCGATAATGACCAAAAACAAATCAGAAAGGTAATTCTATACTGCATTAGACACAAACTGCCATCAAAGTCTTTCTATTGAAAGACTTTGCTGCCATAAGCAAGTTGATGGTATTCGGCCAGCAGAAGTTACAAAATCACAAAAGGGGCAAAACCTCTCTAGCCTGATCAATTTTCTTGGTTGAAATTTCAAATTTAGAACAACGATAGAATAAAAAAAATTTAAATGGCCCAATAATGGCCTAATTCACCAAGAACGGGCTTTCGTGGAAGTGTCATTCATGAGTTGACATTTACACGTTACGATAGGTTATTCAATGCAATGCATTGCAGTATTCAAAATGAGAGAAGAGGAGAGGAAAGGAAAGGAAGGGAGGTATTAGCTGTGCTTCTCCACACCTCAGGTAAAGTCTGTGGCGATTTGCATCAGTTCTTAGACTTTTAAGCTGATTCTAAAATACAGCGTCTAACTTTGATAGTATAAGGGAATCGCTCATTATAAGTGATGTCAATAGTAGCATATAATTAAAAAGTTACCAGCTATGCCTCTGTGGACTGTTTTATTTCATAACTTACAAAATATATTTGTGATGTGGCACAAAATCGGCATTGAAAGTGGAAAGCTAAAAATTCAATCTTGCAAGAAAGAACATATACTTACTGTCCATAAAAACTGGCTGAGTTTGTAAAGTTGGATAAGTTCCTTCTAGCAAATATTCGATTGCATGTATTGGCGTAGCGAAAGACATGTCCTAAAGAAAGAACAAGGCAATTCTCAACGACTTCCAAATATAAGGCCTGGTTCAAACGTCGCGCTTCTCATGTGCCGAACCTAACTCGAGAATTAAGTACATGAGGGGCGCGACGTTTAAATCGATTTGGTACGGCAGATTTAGTTAGGAGCGGCAGACTAGTTTGGATCGGCAGAGCTTGCCGAGCTGCACGGCTCCAGCACGGCACGGTTTCAAGCGTCGAACTTGTCATGTACCGAACTCAATGCATAATTATATTTAATTTATTTTCCTCCCCAGAATTCATTTCTTTCTTGGAGGGCGCATGCGTTTCAAACAAATATTTGAGATTGCGCGCTTTAACCAAGATACTTCATGTAACAATCTTAAAACCCATTTGGCGCGACATGATTAAGTTCGACGTTTGAAACGAGAGTCGCGCTAAACATCGAAGTGTTAAACGCCAAACAGAGTTAGGTTCGGCACATCAGAAGTGCGACGTTTGAACCAGGCCTAACAGACATTTATTCAGCGAACAACAAATGAAGAGTTATACTGGAAACGTTGCGACAATATCAAACTTCAAGGTACAACATAGTATTTTCAATTAGATTAATTTTCATATTATTCATTCAACATGCAACACGCTCAACAATATTGGTTAAGAATTTAACAGAGCTGTATTGAATAAGAGCAAGTTGCCTGCGAATCAAAAACAGAGGGCACCATCACTTATTCAATAAACAGAGGGCATTCGTTATTCAATAAGATACAGTTTAGAATCTACGACTGTGATGACTGGTAAAACCAGTCAAAGTTTTTAGTTTTATCTTTGACCTTACATCATTGTGTCCCTTCTTTCCTCCTCTCTATAAAAATAGCCCCAATCACTTATCATCATTTTGGTCATCGTGACTATCCTTGTCCAAGGTCCCTCTTTCTATTATCTTATCAATTATATCCCCGTTATCCCAGTCTAGTCGACTGTACCATTCCACCCCTGTCCCCATTCTCTACCTCTCTATCCCTATTTATCTTTCGAGAGTTCTAATTCTAAGCCTATCTCCTTCCCAATGTAACCCTAAATACTAATTCTTCTCTCCATTTATCATCTTCAATCTCCCTGTCATCTTTAATCTCCAAGTCGTTTTCGATTCTTTCATTTTTTGTTGTTGTCTCTGCTCTCTCTGAAGGGGGTTGGGGGCAGGGGGTTTGAGGGGGCTCTAGGATCCGTCGTCAATAGTTTTGATTAACTCCGAACTCTCTTCCTTTAATAGAGTCGCTTGAATAAAACTCAACTATCATGAAACAAAACAATATAACACTGTCATAAAACAAAACTTACATGCAGCGATTCAAACTGGTATTTTCCATTTGGCAGAGGAACTATTCTATGGTGTTTTATTTTCAGATTATCCCTGAAAGCAAATATTCCAAACTTGAACTACATGAAAACGTTGGTAGAAAAATTGGTAATCTTTGCATCTAAATACCAAAGTGATATTTGGAAGAGTTGTTAAAGAGAATTAAAGAATGGGAATAGGGTTTTAAGTAAACATTAAGAAACCGACTAAGTTTTCTGGACTCAAAAAGGAGAGCAGTTAAAAAGAACATCTAGAGCCAAAAATGAAACAACCAGATCTATGATAACAGGATAAAAATCTGTGGTGTGTATCTGAGCGTGAAAAACGCGCATAATTGCTTTTGAAATGCGTTTTTAAAACATTTTTATTGCTGTGTTTCATCACTTTTCGAATAAATGAAAAAAGGAATAAGGTCTACTTACTTAATTGATAATGCATAATGATCAACGGAGTTATTTCTGTTACTGTCACGAAGTAGATATCTTCCAACTGAATAGACAGCTAATATTTTCTCTGCTTCCTGTCTTGAAATGTTGCCAAAGTACCAACTAAAAGGCAAAACAGTAGCTCTTGGAAAAATTCTGCAAATTCCTACATTTCATAAAGATTTCTGTCAATTTTCTTCAGTGAAACATCACTGGGTTAGGGTTGGATTATACTTTTCTTAAGTTGGATTGACACGTTTAAACCTTGAAATGCAAAGGCTATCGTCCTTAATGTTAGCAACCATTTGCTAAAACAGCGACAAGTTTTTGTCTTGCAGTTAAAGTTTGCTACAGAGTTTCCAATACAAGTTCCAAATTTAGAAGAGAGCAAGGGCAAATAAAAAACTCAAAGCAAAAAACATCTTTTTGGCGGCGACAATTGGGCAGTCATGGACCCTCTGTTCTTTATTGATATAAACCTTGGCTAATTTTCAAAATCAATGTATGTTAACGGCGCTGAACTTCTACCAGTCAAAACTTTGATAACGTAGATAAGAATCATTGCCCCTTCTCATATTCTGAAAAGAAATGATTAAAATTGTATTGACAGTTTTCTGCATACTCAGGAAGCCGGAGAGCCGAAATATGTTTGTATACGACTCTGTCGCTACCATGCAACGATTTTTGCATGGAAATCGTTGTAAGGAGTGACAAATTTTTCGTGTGTGTACGAGTAACCGAATGGATTTCTTATGATAAGGTAATCATTTCCAAGCGTTGCGAACAGAAGACAAGAAAACCAGCGGTTCAAATTTCAGTTGCTGAGGTCATTAGCAGGAGTTGCCCTAATGGCATCTACAGTGCAAATGTAAAGCAAAATAAACACGAGCAAAACAAACAAACAAATCGGTAATAGAAACTAGTCAGTAAGCAGTTGAACTAAAAATGAAAGTTGATCTTAGTTCAAATTTGAAAACAAATACATGTACACAAAAATTTCACGTTCTGATTTAAATATCACATAAAATATCTTAAATAATGGGACCATTAACACCCATTTGGCAATGTCGCCATGAAAAGCAAACGTGCAGCATATTTATAAGAAATCATGATAGAAGGAACTACACGGTCCTGTTCTTAAAACAGGAAGATTTTAAGTAACTAGCTAAGCACCTTAGAGTCGTTCTTTTCTAAACTAAAAAAAACTAAAGTTCAGCATAGGTTAAAAATCTGTCATTAGCTGAGAGACACAAATTCTGCATACCACATTGACCAATCAGAAATCAAGAATATTACAACAAACGTGCCTTGCAGCTAGATTTAGGCCTATTTTTCACGTTTTTACAAACATCCACAAAAACATGAACGCGTAAAATGTGCTGAGAGATAAACCAAAAATAAAAAATTTCTTGATCAACTCTTTGATAGATGGTACTCATGAAAAAAACTGCCGTTGTACTCAGTAAAAAAATTGTCCATGATAGTTTGTTATGAAGGCTTGAAGTTGGCCGTTCCGAGCATTTTTAATAATTAGGGGGAGGAAGTACGGAGAATTCACTGTTTTTAAACGTTAAAAGCCTAAATGTAGCTGCAACACAGAATCCAGAAACGTTTTCAACTTTCCTCCGACCAAAAAGACCTTAATTTAAAACTTATCTAATTTTTAATGGGTTAAAAATTGGCGCGTTCAGGAAATTGGGGATACTCAACAAGTCTTGATCCCCTCCCCTCGCAACTCCTTGAAAGCAAATATTCCAAACTTGAATTCTTTAAAAAATTGTTTCTTGTTACTTATTATAGATATTTTTGGAGATAGATTAAGTTTTTGGAGACATGCGTAAATCAATTAAAAACAAAAGCATGTCATAACTTGCATATATAAAATATAAAAAGTTAATGCCTAAATTTTACAGTGCAAAGCAGAAGGTTTATAAATATTACTTGAATTCTTTTATTGTCTTGTCTGATTGTAATTTGTAGCCCAAATTTCTTCAACTCCCCCAAGTTTCCAGATTTTGGTCACCTTTCTCTATCTCTTTTTTGTTTCTACGATCTTCTCTCAGTGGCCGTGGAGCTGTGGAGCTGTGGAGCTGTGGAGCTGTGGGGCTGTGGGGCTGTGGGGCCCTGGGGCCCTGGGGCCATGGAGTCGTGATGTTTTCCTGACTCAGGCTGCAAGGCATTTTTTTGTCATTTCCTTGAACTCTGATTGGTCAATGTTGTATAAAGAAATCAAGTCTTTTAACAAATCAAAGATAATTGCACCTAGGTTGTGCAGCACTGCTTTGAGCGTCGATCGTGTACAGCCTTATCCAGCTGCTTATTCAAACACATAATTTTATCATAAATCAACAATTTATCTTCATATTTTTTTTTGAAAAAATGCGAACTGAAATACTTTCCAAGAAAACTACCTTGGTGGAATGAAGACACTATTGTATTTTGGTAAAGCATCTTCTTCGATAATGTTATTGAATTCAGAAGCTGAGCTTTTCTATAAGGAAAAAATTAAAACTTGATAATATGGAAAATTAGAGGTAAAGTGCTGAAATATGACAATAAAATAATCTTCAAATAGGGTAGAAGTAAATTAAGAATGCGGGAATGTAAAAAGCAAGTCAGTCATTAAAAGATTCTAGTGTCTTTTTACCTTCAGGACTATTTTATGACGTCACAGCCATTATCTATTTGTATTTGTTGCTACTAATTAGGTGAATAGAATACACCTCATTGCTTGCTATCTAGCATCTGAAGGTAGCTTTCGGGAAATTGAGAAGCTATGCTTATCGAGCAGTGTCCTGATCATTCCTCTTGATGTGCCTAGACCTCGCAATTCCTATGTCTGGAATTGCAGAAAGATGACGCCTCCCAGGCAACGCGCACCATTCTAAAAGTGGGTGGGCTGAAAAGGGCGTGATAGAAAATGTTTTGAAGCCACATCTTTAAGAAAACCTGAAAACGCCCCTTCTATAAAATACTTGCTTCTTTCCACTTATTGTTCATAAACGGACCGATTCAGAAAAGATATCAATTACAATAAAAAAGATTTAAGATAAAACACTTAAAAAATGAACAAGAAAGAAATGCCAGTCAAGAAGAACTGCTACTACTTAAAATCTGTCACAATCTTCTACAAGCTGTCCGCAAAAGGTATCAAACAAAGTCAAAGCGAGGATAAATTAAATTGTACAAACCAAATTGAGGCTAACACCACGCCGGAGCCTCGAAGCAGAATTTAAATTATTTCCCGGTGACGATTGGGACAGAAGCTGACTAGTAGAAACTGCCGCAACGCTTTTAGCTGCAAATAAACATGAGTTATTCACATTAACTTCAAAGGATGGTTAACACTATAACAACAATCACTATAAAGAGACAAAATTTGGATATGTGATAGCGACTTATACAAAGGAATTCTTGCATCTTCAGCATGCTTATTTGAAAAATTATACAGCTGAGTATACTAAAGCTTTTCATCTCACACTCTTTAAAATATAAAACGTCAGAACATAGACCGAAAACTCTACACAAGAAAGCATATATACCCAGTGGATCGAAATAGGCCAATCAGAAACGCGAGCACATGACTGTTGAGGCTGCACAATCAGTGCCGCTTGCCTATTGAGAATGTTACCTATGGAGTCCTAAGGTGTAAACGAACTCCTTTTTTTTCGTGCTTATGTAGATAGATTCCAAAACTGCTAAATGGAACGACGATCGGGCTTTACTAAAAATCCAAAACATGTCGCCATCATAGTTTTTGCACACTGTGGGTTTTCCAGCAAATGCTGCCCGATAGCATAATCGCAAGTTTTAGTTTTAGTTTTAGAAGCTAAAAGCTTTAGTATACTCAAATGTTTGCCTTTTTCAAAGCCATTTGTCTTGAACCAGCAAATGATTGTATAAATTCTACATTCTATAGCGCCTCGATTTTGATCCATTCTTCAGTCACACACAAAAACAAGTAAATGGGTAATATAAATTTGCATGAGCACCAATTGTTTTGCAGAAAAAATTATGGGCCCAATGTTCTACGTAAGGTATCACGCTATAACCAAAGGATATGTAAACCAACCTCTTTGCTTCATTTTATTTGGGCTTGGTGTGTTATCTTGTATTTCTTCAAAATCTAAATCGCCTGGCAAAGGGCCAGGGGAATTAGCCTGAAGAGAGAATGTAAATTACTAATATTGTACACACTTTCCTTAATATTGAATCAGCTTTAATATTCTTAAAAATTTGCGATTCTCTGTTACTGTAAATAAAGAATAAAAGTAATGAAGGAAGCGAAACAGTCTAGCATAAAACAAGAGTGTTTCTCGACCATTTTGCGTGAAAGTTACGCTTGTCCTGTTTGCCGAAAAACTCAAATTTATACACAAAAGGTTAAATTGCTGATGAAACTGGAGCCTGGCTATAATTCTAGATTAATTCTAATATTGTACCTAGCTTTGGTTTAACCAGAATATTTAAGTTGTAGAACGAATTTGATGGCAAATATTTCATTTCTATAAAGAAAGTAAAAAAGAAGTTTTCAGGTGTTTAAGAAAAACGCAAATGACTTAAATAATGGCCACAATTAATTTGTTAGAGTGTCTGAAAGATAATAATGAAATTCCTTGTCAATTCAAGCTTCGACAGGTCTTCTAAAAATAGAAAGTTTTCTGGAACCCGTTTAGTATCACATACTTTACCGAATACATGGATCGAATGATTGAACTTGACAATAAATATTGAATAACACGCTGGTTGCTTGATATACCCGAGTGATACATTTTTGACAGCAATTAATGGTTTTGAAGTTTTGAGCCCAAGAGGACTTTAAAAGTAAAACGTATCTTGAAATGGAATATTAGGAAATGACAACCAATACTTTGATTGACATAACACTTGCATTCAACTCTGAGGACTCTTTCTGTAGGAGGTTTAGTAGGGAAATCAGACGGTCGGAGCTAATATCAAAATGCAAAAGAGTCCATCAGGGTTCTTGCCAACAAAGAATTTCACTTCATGCAAGTATTCATAAACGCCCAGTGGAAATTGCATTTCAAACAAATTCTGTAAGCAAAGGTTAATGATGCTGATCTTATGAAGAAACATTGTAAGTTGTTAATTTTTAAAAATTCGATTAAAAGATTCTATAGAAACCAGTGTAAATGAGAAATTAGAACCTAAAGTATAATCATTCGAAAACTGTCAAACTTCAGTACATATTCATAAATTCTTTTTCACAAGCACAGGCAATATGAAACATTTTTGTAGACATTTTATTTGAGTGTTTAGATACCAAACATAGGTATGGAGAAATTCGATTAAATTTTCAAAAAACAAAGTTTTGAATCTGCTTCGCGCATAAAACATTTTTATTCCCTTAATCTTGCAGAAAAGTTATGTTAAAATTAAGAAACATGTTTGGTCAATGATTAAGAAAAAAAACGATGGAACATTTCTTGAATTAGCATTTTTATTTTTCAAGCGGATGTAAGCCGTAGCAAGCCCCTGATTAAATGGAGACTGTTTAGTTGAGAGTATCTAAACTTTCGATGGAGATTACGAAAAAAAGCATTTTTGTTCGATTTTTTGTTCAAAGTTCACATGATTTTCATCTAATCTTAAAATAGCTTTTGACATGATTCTTGGAATATTTTCTACCCCTGCCTTTTCAGGTAACCCAAATTCAATAATACTACTAATCTCCAAAATCTAATTTCCTCGCCTGGAAAAATCTACCTCTAGAAGTTTTTCATGGCTACTGTTAGCTGTGCATACATCGGTATCAAAGTTTCAAAATCAGAAAACCTGAACAGGATGAAGGTTTCATATTTTAGGCAAAAAGTAACGATGATCTCTTACTCTATTGACAAGCTCAATCGCATATACCCATCTCTTTCTCAGAATATCGTCAGTGGCCTAAAAAGAGCAAAACATAAGTGAACAGAAATACTTGCTCGTTAAATACTCTAAACGAGAATACGCACTCGTTCATAAGATAAATTTAAAACGAAGAGAACAAACAAATAAAATTTTGATTTCCAGTTACTATAGCAATAGAGTACGAAAGAGTGACGTCATCAAAAATCTATTTTTATAATTTCTTAAATTTGGCCGCATAATCTGCAAAAACGACATAAAATACCTCTCAATATGCAAAATTAGTTAGATATGTTCCAAATTGGGCGAGATATGGCCAATGAAAGATTTTGAGTTTGCTAACGGATTACTGTTATTCTGGCCTGGTTCATAAAGTTATGAACCAAGACCAAATGACAGAGGTTTGATGGGGCAAGAGCCTGTGCTCAAGTGGCCATATCTCAGCCAATTCGTAATGCTTTTAACTGATTTTGCATATTTAGAGGTATTTTATGATGCTCTTTCAGGTTCCCGAATCAAAATTCAGAAATTCTAAAAAAGATCTTTATGACGTCATCACTTCGGTACTGTATGTCAGATGGTACATGAGAGATGGCAAAATTCTTATAGTATTTTTCGTGATTCGTATTTCGTATTTTTAGTTAATATTAAATACGATTGAAATTTTCTGATTTAATTAAAAGCCTTTAGATCAGCACAATATAGCATTACATATTGTGCTAATTTACCGCGAGCTTCCCAGTTTGATGCTACGTAGATGAGATGTATTTTAACGATTTTCAAGACTGTATCATAAACCTTGTTTCGCCATTTGCCAATCATACTGTCAGTTTTGCTTGCAAACTTTGATGTGATAGCTGTTTTCGCAAACTTTTCTAGGAATGCATACTGCTTTCTGTCAGTCTCAAAGACTGCAAGGGAAATAAAGGCAGAACTGGAAAAGATTAACTTGCGGCACACTTGAAACGGGAGTCGCACAAAACTAGTCATGGTGCCGCAACAAATCGAATTTAGTTCGGCACATGAAAAGTTCGACGTTTGAAACGAGCCTTAGTTTAACAAAACAAGACTTTAAAACTTTGAAATATCACATGATAAATTTTCCAGTCAGCCTTTTGAGATATGTATAGCTGTATAGAAAGGGGTTTTTTTTCAAATACATTTTTCAGAAAAGGGGGTGGGGATTAGAAAGCGGAAGGTTAAATACGTCATTTATTTAGGAATATTCTAAAGTACCCTGTAACTAATTTTGGAAACAATCCATTTGTTGGTTCGGAGGGTGCAACTTTGGCATTTTCAAGGAGAATGTGTAGATTTTTGGGAAAGAAACATACTTGCCTTTTCGATAAAACAATTTTAGTTTTCTTCTTACCCTTCTCTACTCGACTGATAACAAAAGAAGGCTCCAATCTACACGAAGTTACTGGCATCATTGAAAAATAGAAAAGCTACAAAGCCAGATGTTTACATGGAGATTTTGAGAACAGAGTTACACTCTCGATAGAATTTTAAATATTCCGGATCCAAAAATATCAACAAAACAGCATTTAAGACACAAAATACATTCAAGCTAATGAAAATTTTTCGCCCTCAGAGTAATGACAAAACGAAAGTTCCGCACTTTATAGGACTTCAACAAACGGCACCTTTATTGTTGGTACAAACTATACTACCAAAAGCTTATTAAGATTTTGCTAATTTCCCAAGTTCTTCAGCCTTGTTAATATTACACACAATAGCCACTTTTATTAAAAACACGGCGAGTATCGATTGAGGCACCACCAAGCCCCTCAAACTAGAAGAAAGGGTACACATTTAAATGATGAAACGACGAATAAAGACGAGATAAAAACTAAAAATAACACCGTTTACATCGATGTCATATAATAGAATATAAATTTATCCTTCATTCTGTTTCTATTAAATACACGGAATTCCAACAAACTTACACGAAGATTGTGCTTCTTCTTCCCCATTTCTAGTATAAATTCTCTACTGCTTCCTTTCTTTGCGTTACACTTTGTTTGTTGGACTTCAATTGGAAGGTAACCAACATGCTGCAATAATTGAAAATTTTATCATAGACTTAATGATTGTCGGGAAAGTAGCAAATAGGTGAGGGAGAGAGCCGGGGTATGTAAAATTTACCTGAGTTCTATTGTGAACTTCTGAAATTCATCTGCCAAAGCATCGTATCCGTATCACTTAGCGTAATAAGAGTGTCAAGGGTTAATTTTGAACTGTTCCCATTTAGATGCAAGAGAAGTAACAGGATGATTAAACCGGGATCCAGTCTAGTTTTGAGCCAACAAATTACTTTGCAAGTTATAACGATGAGGATCCTAGGCCTTGCCCCTAAAGAAATTTCATTGCTACTTCGTATAACACCAAAAAAATATTTTTGCTTAGAATCAAAGATTAAATGATAATAATTTTATAAATTGCTGGATACAACATCCATGGTTCTTATGGTATTTAATGTAAATAAAAACCTAGATTTATTTTTTTCTGAGCGTCATGATTGATAAACAAAATTTACAATAAAAAAGCTATATCCTTTTCCTAGTGCCGCCAAACAACTTAAATGTTAATATATTATCCTGCTATCAAATAACATAAATAACTTTGAAGGGAGAGAAAAGTAAGTGGTTATGATATCTTGCTTGGGTGTTTATTCATTTCATTCAACATCTCCCACAAGGTTAAAAAAAGGGAACACTGAAGTGTGGGGGCTGGGGGGCTTAGCTGTACTTAAAATCATACAACAAGTTGCCTTCTTCTTGGTTTTAACCATGAGAAATTACACAATTTTAGCATGTATGGTGGCAAGATACCTAAGGTCATTGGCAAAGAAAGACCATTGTTTAAAAAACACTTTAAAGAATTAACATGGATTGGCACCTGGCTTTTTGCACGTGTCCTTGCATGTCTGAACTTGTCAAGAAAAAGAAATAGCAAAGAAATCTGCAAATTTGATACCTGTCATGTTCATGTCCGTAAATGCACAAAAGTCTGTTTCCCTATTTGTTTACTTCTATTTTTTCTACATATTTTACCTTCTATTGGTCCTCTTTTCTCGAATTTGGGAGACTTGTTTAAAAAGCTCAGCATTCCTTCTCCTCAATTTAATTCTCATTCTTAAGGATATTAAAAAACTACTTTGCAATAACTACAGTTTTGGTAAAACAAGATTCATAATTGTAGTAGGGCTGCTCTTTTCATCAATTTAACAATAATTGGGGGTGTCGCCCTCAGCCCCCTCTTCTGATTGGACAGACTAAGGGTCAAATATATAGCAAAAATGCTTCAGACTAGACAGCTTTATTCATCTTCTAAAATCTAGGCGTCAAACCATTGCCAATGTAAAAGGAGTAGAGCAAAGGAATGCATATATAAAGGTATTGAAGAAAAGATAAAAACATTTTAGCAACACTGCCATCCCTATCCATCTCTTATTTTGACTATTTTCAAATATTGACACTGAGAAGCAGTGCCAGTGGCATGACACAGTTAGTTTGTTAATTAAGGACTCCCATCTAAAAGAACCCCAAAATTATTTTCATATCAATGTTTTAAGACCTTTCTTAAGTTCACCTTATTTTCAACAAGATTAGAAGCTCTTTAACTGAAGCAATTCCCCTTAACTCAGTTCCCCTCAGTTAAGGAAAAAAATTATCATTATTACATTTTTTTATTGTGTTTGACATGCTCTACACTGTTGGATTGGACTTTCTTGCAAAGTAGAAAATTGGGCCCTGTATCAGTTTATCTTTAGGGCACCAAATACCTCTGTTAAGCCACTGAGTAGTGCCTATTAAGCAGTGTCCTGGCTCTTTTCACTAAATATGCGTACACCTTTATATGATTCTTATCCCTGGATTTTCATAAAGCTCAAAACTCTCTTAACTTTAAGTAATGGTTTGGTCATGACAGAGACTCAAACCCCAGACCCTTTGAACTTTTCAGTGACCCTAACAACTGTGTCATCCTTACACACGTGGGTTTAATTTGCCCAATGGGAGCCAAAACTAAGAGAAAAACTATGCATGTGATTTACACAAGAACTTTTCAGAAAAAATAATATCTAGAGTAATATCCTAGTGATAATAAAAATATCCTCCTGGTGGTTCAAAACTTTGAATAAATATACCATTTTGTATGTCAACAAACCTGCTCTTTAAGATGGGTGTTTTGGTCCTTAAAGAAGAACATATAGTTTCCCTTCAAAACAACCCAGTAATCTTTGAACTAAAAGTAAAAAGGAATATTGGTATGAAAAGCTGGAAAGGAAAACAACAAAACAACAAACAGTGATAAAATATTACAATCCCAATATCTAACTATTAAATTTAACCTTTAATTAACCTATTTAATTAACCTTTAAAGGTGTTTTGGACTTTTAAATTCTTGTTGCTTTGATTTATTGCAATGTACATCCCAAGCTAAGCAAACAAAAAAACTACATGTTAAAAACTACTTTGCTAAGCAAACTATAAATCTTGGTTGCTATTCTGACTCTATTTACAAAATTTTAGGCAACTACAGCAGCTTCACTTTGAAACTTCAAAGTAGATCAGAAGTGTAGAAATAGTTATGCTATACAAAATATTTCAGATAAAATTGGGAGCAGTGGTCCCACTGCCTTCCCCCTCTCCTTGACTCCTGAATAGCTCTGTGCTGAATCCAATTAAACCCTCACTTACATACAAATTTCAACTGGCCAGCTCAACTTATTTTTGCGCTTAAAATTTGAGGTACCTTGAGGAAGATTCATTGCTACTGCTTCCATATTATAACTTACTATTTTGTTGGCTAAGATCTTTGCTTATAATATTTTAAATGTGTTTTAATTTAGAAAAGTTCGAATTCAAAACTCACTATGAAAACCTCCTATATGTAACATAATATCTCCACTTCACCTGCGTTCTTTCATCGTAAAAAATTTACCTCTTTTCAGAGCGCCTTTCTTCTCACTGTAAAGTTATTCGTTGATAAAGATACAATCAATTAATTAACGCTGTTACGATTCGAGTTAACAAAAGAGAGCAGATATTATCGGAACTGGATAGATTGCGACCTACACAACCTTATCTATGTAACTTTTCATTGCTAAAAAGAACAATGTTATCTTTTACAATCATAAATAATGTGGATATGAACATAAATTATTCATGACTGGTGGTTCCACCTTAGCCCGTACTTGTATCAGTAAAAATTTTGTTCTTACCCCCCTTTTCTCTTTGATCTCCAACCAGCTCTCGTTGTATTTTAGCTTTGGTGGAAGAGCATAAATTTCTTCCATTGATTCGCCCGCACCCTCCATCTTGTAGCTGCTCCCTAGGTCTGAAAATCCACATTCATGAAAACGAATTAACTCTGGCTCATCTGCAACAGTGTTTGCAAGCCCATTTTGGAGAACAACCGATTAGACATGAATAATCTTGTGTAGGCCAGCTCAAGTGCTCGCTTCCAGGAACAGAACTTGCTTCCCAGTATTAACCAAACAAGATTGGATAACTGATCTAGTTACAAAGACGTGCAGCAAACACAAAGGCACTGTTAATGAGAATTTAATTTGTGATGATTTGGAAGTGTTTCAACGATGCTTTATCCAAAACATATTACAGGCAACAGACTTTCTCAATCACTGCTCGCCGCAATTTCCCTTTCCTGCTGTGTTCTTTGAATTCGAAGCCTTTGTAAGCTGTGGAGGAGACCGAAGGCACTTTAAAATTTGAAATCTTCCGGCACAATACTTTGAAAGAGATGTTTGGTAACACAATAAAAATACCATTTATTTTTGCTTTGGAGTCTTGATGATTCCCGTAAGAAAAATTAAAGCTGTTTTCACAGTTTTTCATTCAAACAATCAATAGTGAATGGAATTTTAGATATCTCTTTTCGGAACGGCGTCATTGTCTGGTTATCTTGTGGGCGATTCTAATTCATTCCTTTACAGTCAGAAACCCCTTCACCCTGTCCCAAGATGAAATAGCCAGTTAAAATTTTAACAGGAAATGATGTATGCAAAGGCCAGCATTACATAACGTACTTTCTTTTATGCTGCTGATTATATCGAGAAGGAAAAGGCCGGAATGTTAAAGATTTTGTACAAAAATGTTAACTGTCTGGGAAAATTTGAATGTGTACTTTAATGTTACATTTCCGCAAATTTGATAAAAATTCCTTGAAAATGCTTTCAAAGCTGTAAGATTTCGTTATTGTTAGAACAAAGATATGCATTTGTTGATGTAAAAAAATAATGTAATTTCGCTTAAAATTTCTTTTCAACGCATTTTTTATAGAAACTCCTTGATTTTGCCAAAAATTGGAGCGTGACATCCCCATCCCCCATCTTTGTTGGTGTCGGTCAAGATAAAGTAGGCCCTTAAAAATCCTTGGTGATGCAAATATGCAAAATTTTCGTGACTTGGCTTTGCATGGCATAGGCATAGGGTCTTCAACTGTTTCCTTCCATTGATCCGAAAGCGGAAGTTAAATTAGGGTCAGAGATGAATTCACGTCGTCATCGGCTGTATGTAAACAGCACGGACTGTATATGGCAGTTCTACGTACAGTAACCTCAAAAACTTAATTAATAAACAATAATACACTATTATCTTTATTCAAGTAATTTTTTAAAATTACGAGCCTAAAAATCAATATTCAATACAAGTTTAAAAACAGATTAAGAGCGAGCTAAGCCGTGGAACTGCACAATGTAGTTTGGAAGAAAGATTGTTTACGTATGTTTTTCAATTTTGACATGGCTTGTTAAAACACCAGAGAAATTTGGAGAAAAATTCACTTTTGGAGAAAAATGATGAGTGTTAGCCTGCAAGAAAAGATTTTATAACATGTACTTAACAATGGAGACCATTGCGGGGGTGTGGGGGCAATCCCCGACCCCCAAGGTTTTGCTAAATTGTCGGTTTTGTCGGTAAAATTATGTTATTTGTTGGCAAATTTGCTTGTTTCGTGGGCATTGCCCCCCTCCCTCCCCCTCCCACTTGAAAGATGAATTTCCACAACAGCCGAATGAGTCTAAAAGTGGGAGGGCTGAAAAGGGCGTTGCCCCCACAACATTTTTTAAGCCATTTAGATTTGATTAATCAAGTGTTAGCAGTTATCGAAATAGCAAACATCATCGACTTTTTTAACTAAGGCGTTGGCAACAAATTTTCTCACACCTTCTAATTGTTAGTAATTTTTAAGTTCTTACAAATTATAGAGCCATCCATTCTTGGCACAAGCATCGTAGTTTTTTAAACTTTATTAAAAACAATGGCTTTTTTTAAACAAAGTCTGTTGAATTATGTCTGAATTTCAAAGCGGAAAATTTCGACAAAAATAGAAGCGGAAGAGTTTACGCGCTAGAAATATTCCGCTGCTGTTTGAAGGAGGTGATCAATACTACCGCTAATGCCAGGTTTGGCAAAAGATATGATTAAATCTGGCAGCAAATAAGATCATAGGGATAGGTGCAGAAGAAAGGGGGCTGGGAGGGGTGCAGCCCCCCTTATCAGGCAACATCTATCACATTCCAGGCTCCATTCGAGCAGTTCTATCTCAATAAGGGAATAATGAGGAAATAATATTCAGACAACATCTGTCCTTAGTTCCCCTAAAAATTATGTAACCGGAACGCCAAAGAATATGCTTTTTTTCTACTGTGTTTACAACAGCGTGAGTAGAAATTTCAAAGGCGGGGGAGGCAGTTTATGAAAAGAAGCACCAGTAACGCCCAATGCTACCCTGGGTTACAGAGCCTAAAGTGGGGGATAGGGAAAGGGGGCGCTGTAGGAGGGAAATGGGACGTTGCAGGAGAGCACAGGAGGGAAATGGGGCATTGCTAATCTCTCTTCTCTCTTCTCTCATCTCTCTCAAGACAAAACATCATCGTCCCAAGCGAGGGGCCATTCACTCTTGCAAATAGCGTACGAGATTTTACCTAAAACAAAAGGATTTTCATAAAAGTTGTACGAGATTTTCTTGGAGTGATTTGCCCCTTGGTCCCAAGAAGCTCTCCCCTAGCCAAAGCGGTTTTAAAATAGGGGCTACCACTTCTAGCACAGGGAAATACTTTATACATAGGGAATTTCCCACAACAATCGAGCAAAGTGCCTAACCTTCATTTGGGCACTTGAAGCCTTGAACAACATTCTAATCATTGAATACATTTTTGTGAAACAACAGAAATTGATAAAGTCATTTTCTCCTGTCATCAAACATTTTACTTGTTTGAAAAACCGTTCACACCATCTTGTTTGGCACTGCAGTTGGAGCAAAAAGTTCTTAAGCATTAAGGTCTCGCACTCGCACAATAGATTAAAAAATGCTTTCAAAAATAGAAACTTCGCAGGAGAAAACTATTTTCATCAACAGCCTAAAACCTGTGCCTAAGAGGAAGATGAGGGGCGTTGCGAACCCTTGAAAATCCAACTCCTTGCTTCTCTCTATGGAAAATCCTTCAAATCGCTGAGAATATTTTCTGATAAAGAGTGCAGGGAGCTCTGCAACCGACTCTTTCCAGACAGACTGGAGAGAGAGAGGCGGGGCAACCATCCTTCTTGTTTTTTGATAGGAGGGGCAAGGGGAGCCAACGTGCCTTTTTTCATAAAAAAATCGGCCTTTTGCAATAATCAAAGAGGTTCATGTGAAATTCTGACTGTAGTATGTATCTTATTCATGGTGGAATTTCTCAAAACCTGTAAACAAATTCTTTTCCCGAAAGTTAACCCATTTTCAAGATGGTCTCAGACAATCGATCTTCTAACTTCGCAGTTCCCCTGCAGTAGTCTTTTCATCCAACCATCCCATCTGACCTGATGGCCAAAGAATGTCAGCTTCCTTTTCTTGATAGTTTCCACCAGTCTCTCCGGCATTCTTCCGTCATTTGCAGCAGCAATTTTTTCGTGAACAATTTTTTTGCGGTACAGAATTTGAAAATGGCAAACATTTTACGACATACTAAAAGCTTTTTCGTCTGACACTCCTCAGAGCAATTTTTTCCATTACATGTTGGTTTGTCTTCTTTTCTCGCCATGATATTCCGAGTAGCCTTCGGTAACATTTCATCTTGAAAGCTTCAATGCGGCGTTGAATCTTTTCCGTCATCGTCCAGCTTTTACAAGCATATAGCAGTATACTGTTCACAAGTGCCCTTAATGAATGAAATTTTCCCTTCAGCTTTAACTTTCTCATCTTCCAAACTTTTTCTAACTTTGCCAATGCACTCGTTGCTGCTCCAATTTTTCTTTTAACTTCTAACTTGCGGGTTACATTCTCAGTTATAATTACCCCAAGGTACTTAAATTATTTTACTTGTTCCAGAGCATCATCTTTAACCTTGACTGATACTTTTTCCTGTATGCTTTTTCCATTTTCCATGACTTTGCTTTTCTCTGTGCTTATTTCCATCCCGAATCTGCTAGCTGTTTTGTCTAATTTGTTTGTAACTCTCTCCGGATTCTTTGCATTACTGGCAATCAGGTCTATGTCATCCCAAAGCGATGGTAGTTAACTGTAAGCCCTCCGCACCTGATTCCACCATCATAGTTTTCCAGCGCGTTAGACATTATTCTTTCGATAAAGATATTGAATAGGGTAGGAGAGAGAATGCAGCCTTGTCTCACTCCCACAGTGCTCCTGAACCAATCCCTGTGTGTGTCTCCTACTAAGACAGCTGTTCTGGCTGTTTCATAAAGTGGTTTAATGAGCGATATCATGCCTTTGTCGATATTACATTTTTCCATAGTGGGCCACATACCCTCGTGCTTTTTTAAGTCTGTAAAGTTATGGAACACGTTCTTCTGTGATTGCGGTGGATTTCAAATATAAGGCGCAAGTTCAAAACCTGTTCTGCAGTACTACGATCTTTTCTGAAGCCAGCCTGAGCTTCATCAAGAATATCTTCGACTTTTAGTTGGATTCTATTCAGGATAATTGACAGCAGTACTTTGCTGGCATGGCATGACTGACTAGACTTATTATTCTGTGTTCAGTGCTTTCTTGCTAACTTTCTTCTTGGGTATGGGAATTTGTAAAGATTCCGTCCATTGTTTTGGCCACTTACCAGTTGTAAGAATTCCATTACAAAGTGATAGCAAAATATCTACCATCGAGTCACCTCCTGCTATTATAAGCTCCGCTGGGATATTATCTATGCCTAGTGTTTAATTATTTTTTAGATATTTGACAGCTTTTTCCATTTCTGTTCTTAAAATTTCAAGTGTAGGCTTTTTCATCATCTCTACAGTTGGTTCTGCGAGTTTTGCGAGTAAAGAATCAATAGAAGCTGGGAACTCCTTATTGCTGAAGCCTGTCCCTGCCCCTTAAAGGGCCTAAAATAAGCGTGGGTCTGACTCACCTTTTGGAGATGTAAATTAATATTGTGGATCTGTAATTGTAGAAAGTGTGGATTTGTAAACAGTGCATTATCTTAAGTGCAGCAGCATAAAATACCAAATGTTGAAGCATTAGAACTAGAAAAATGTTTTTCAACGCAAAGCAAATGCCAAATCCCAGCCTTATGTATTGCACCCTTTTTTTAGAAAATTGATTTATAAGAAATAGGTAATTGACAATAAGAAAGAACTTAAACTTTCGGAACTGGAAGCCTTAATACATGCAGAGGAAAATCAATTGCGCTTTATTAGATTGTCATTCTATTTTGAGGTTTGATGAACACAGTATACAGCTTCAACTTCAAGAAATCATCTCCAGTTTGTGTGCATTTATGACTTACTTGTCTGTGCATTTTGAAAGAACGGTTTGTAGCATTTGGAGCTAATTTTTCATCCAACTGCAAAGCCTACCTAAACAGGCACGGAGCCGCCCTAAAGACCAAAGTTTTTTTGGAAATCTGCGAGATTATGATTTCCTGCCCATGATGTGCTTTAGGCTTTATGTTGCATCTCTGTTCCGGAGATTTCAAAAAAAGTTGCAAGGCGATCGATTTAGCAAGCCCCCAGCCTCCATTTCAATCCCCCGCTTTTGAACTAGTTGAGAAAAAGATCAATGTTTCAAACTACACGAAAAAAGAAGAGAAAGAGACCACCACAATTTTTACATCCGTGATAGAAGAAATTATTTGCCATTCGCAACCAGTTTCTCGTCATTATCAAAACTTTTTGAATGAAAGATTTGATGACAAAGAATTCTAATGGGCTGAATGAAATTAAAAATTGCCGGATTTAGCATATTTTAGTAATTATTAATGCTTAATCACGTAAGTTTCGAGCTCCAGTCAGCTGCAAAGATATGGCTCCAAAAACCACAAACACCTCAATCATTCTGCTCCAAAGTCTCGGAAGCAAGATTGTTTTCAGGGGGTTTTGAAGGTGGAGAGAAGGAAAAACAACTTTGACGGACATCCGAAAAAAGCGATTAAGGTTTTTCCTTTCTTATTAACTCAATCCATATATTGTGAACAAAATCGGCTTTTGTTTCTTATGTCTCGTGTCTAGGATCTTGGCCAATTAGGATATGCTATTCGCACTAAGGCTGCTGTTCCCAGATATTATCTGTTTTTGCCACACCCATTGTGTCAATCGCAGCAAAATACCAGGCCCAATTTTTATCAAAATATGTTGATCTGTAATAATTTCTTATTTTAGGCACTGCCTTTGGTCATCTAGACGTTCCTGATTCTATTTCTTGTAACTGTGTCTTAGTGAGTATTATGTCTTTAAGGGTCTTAATGTCTGAGCTGCCATTGTGCCTGTGATGACAATTATTTAAAACGCGATAGGGAAACTCAAGACATTAATATCCTTGTTAGACATTATAATAGTTTGGCTGAAACAAGATATTTGCTGCTTTCAGCAACTTGCATGGTAATTGTGGCGATTCTCTAAAAACTGCAAACTTATTTCCATTCATGACATCAAACGTTTTATTGAAAATGTTCAGTGAATAAACTTACCAATATAGTGAAAATAGCAACTACCCCAGACTGCCTCTGATACGTTAAAAACTCTCGCTTTTATAGTCTAGGTCTTTTGATTCATGAAATGCTTTTGAATCTTTGTACGTGGCAAGTCCACTTCCTTGTTGACGTGTTGTTTGGCTTCTCACCAAATAGGATTCTATTTTATGTGGTCTGAAATAACCGGATGATCTGTTGCTTCTGAAAGTGTTGGTTAATGAAGCAAACAAAAGCACAAAGTAAGACACTAGACACTAGAGAGAGAGAGAGAGACACTAGATGGAATGCAATTAAAATTTGACTCTTGGAACCAAAAGTGTAAGAAATATTTTCAGGGCCACAGCTATTGTCTTTTGGGGGAAGTGGTATTACCCCAACAAAATAAAAATAAATACTTTCAGGACAATTGCTTTTGTTCCTTTTTTCTCAAACAATGGTGCCCCACCAATAACTTTCATTCTTCCTAAGGTACTGTACTTTGGAGTGATAGAACTTCAAGTTTTCTTTTGGGGGCGCAGACGAACAGTTTTCCGTCAAGAAGACGTGCGTAACAGAAAAAAGGCTTTGAAAGTCAGAATTTACCCACCCAAACTTGATTTCCACCGAGCCCCCTAAAATTTTCACAGTTTTTGTTCCAGACTCTTACATGAAATGAGTTTGACATCCTGAAACAGCTAATTGAATTGCACAACTATATTACGAAAAGGCAAAACAAAATGGTGGTTGGTTTCTTTGATCACAGCAATGAGGTTAATGAAATCATTGAATCACAGTAAACGGCGCTGCGCAGCAACTGATTGACTGATTCATTGTACTGGAGTCCACGTGACTTGCATTCGGTGAGACAACAATAAACAAACCACAGCGATCACGGCGATAAGCAGAGGCTCGTGCGTCGAGAGAGTGTTTCAAAAGAACTCTCGCTAATATTGTTGAGTAGGATAAAGGAAAGACAAAACGTTTTTGAAATTCTGGCGTTTGACAAACGTAAACTATCCTCGCATGTACAGGTCTTTTTACAGGGGAAGCTTTTGTGCAGCGTGAAAGTACAACCTGCTGAAGAACGCTTCATTTAAATGAAAGTTTGCAGAAAGACAAATTGAGAAGTGGGGAAAACGTCGTCAGTGAGAAATACAGGTATTTCGTGTTTAAATCTCACGAGTTTATAAGGCATTATTGAATATTCTGCTTTGGATCGCTTCTCATGTAGGTATTACATGCAGCTGACGCCCACTTATAAAGGGAAACATGCATGTTTATTACAAAGATGTTAAATATTTAGGCCCCTTTCCGAACTCGCTTGTGCTATTTGGTCAGATCAAAGGTTATTTAGACAGGTCATGAACGGTTCTCAGGACCATGCTGCGATCTTATATTTAATTCCAATTCTGTGCATGGTCTATATTGAGTCATTCAAAACTGAACTTGGTATTTGAGTGGTGATTGTACTCCCAGTCTCCTAGTTACTTTCAGTTTCGTTCAATAGCCCGACGTACCTCCCTGCCCGAGAACTTTTCGTCTACGGTCGTCTGTTTGGTGCCATTTTTTATAGATACAGAACAGTTTGCTGTTATCGCTTTAAGATATTTTCTGGCAATATGAAAGTCATTCGTTCGTTGCATCACCCCCAAGCCCAAAAAACCCCAAGGTACGCCACAACGCCCTAAATACTTTTTGTGCTTCAATGAAAGCTTTTTATGACTCTCTGACGAATAGCCTTCAACCAATTAAACAAATTTAAGTGTTTATACAAAGGTAAGGTATGTGATCTTAAAATAACGAATGTCTTATTTTTTCCAATGAATTGTTTTTTATCTATTATTTCCTGCAATGCAAAGATAAACTTTATTTCATTATTTGTTTAATTAGTTTTAGATTGGATTTCATATGCTTGTTCTTTGCTTATAAATTTGTTCACTTGACAAAAGCCATAAACTTGAGTGTCTGTAATTTTATGTTGGATTTAGTTGATAAATCCAGAATTCATATTTATCCACTGTCTCGTTGTTCAGGTTCCTTAAATACAACCAACATCCATTGGTAACATGATAACAAAAGCCTCTAGGCATGGACAGAGACCCTCTGTGGCGTTGGCAAACGAATATTTTTTCTTTTCTTTCATTTTTTTTTTCAAACCCTATCCAGACGATAATTGTGCATGCATGAATTTGGCTAACCTTAAAATGCATCAGATGTATATTTAAGATCCATGGCCACGGAGAGCCCCCTGTTTTAACTTGAGAGTTCAATCCCTTATCACTAATGTCCAATATACACTATAAGAAATATAGAAAGCCAGTAAAAAGTGACATTTTCCAAAGAGAGTGGTCATAAAACCTCTTCATATTCCCTGGCTATGTCCACTCTGCTCACATTTGCCCTCCCATGGCCTCGGCGGCGGCAGGCCAGGGAGAGCAGGATGGCCATGACCCCCAATTTTCGCAAAGTCTACAGTTTTGAGTCTTTGATTTGCAAATTGCGTCGTAGCCTATGCCTTCCCTGAATCTCACCACTTTGGCTATCCTACTGCCACGCAGACGTTGCCAGCCGCCCCCCCCCCCCCTTCCAAGACCCGATGTGCTGTTTTATGGCATGCATTTGTTTGCTTGTGGTCCTAAAGCCCTTTGTGAATTACAACCATGCTTTCTATTCACCTTGGATGCCCCTTACTCCATGCTGATACCGTCACGTAACCACGTCACGCAAATACGTTTACGAATCTCAATATCGAACGAAGCAAATTATTTTGAATCTCGCAAATTATTTTGAACTATGTTTTACGTGTTACCTCTATAACTGTCTTTTTTCCCTTACGTACATAATTTTCAACAAACTTTGAATGCACGAAGAAGTTTCCAAAAATCGTTTGAAAAAGTATTTGAAAACAGAACTTATACAACAGTTTACCAGATTACACTCTTTTTTTATAAGAATAACTTCATAACAACACGAGCCTCAAAATTGGTCAAAATTTAAGAATGAATTAAGAACAAGCTGTGGCTGAGCTACTGTAAAATGCAAAATGAACAGCGTTTTATCTCAAAAACGAGGATTTTTAGTCATATATGGGTGCTTTTTCGGTAAATATTCAAACTTGTGGGCAAATGAAGGTTGTCTCACTCACTTTGTTGGCAAATGTGACCTGAACGCCTCGCTAGAGCGGTAGAGCTAGCAATCGCACTGCTTACACCCAGTTATTTAAGATCAACTTAAGAACAATCCAGCCTCAGATTTTCCAAAAATTAAGAATAAGAACAGTCAGCCTGAGCTCAAATTTACTAGTTCTTATAAAAAAAAAGTGTAAATGATCTTCTGTCGTGGGTTACAAAAATACTCATTAAGTAGATTGATTTAAAAAAAGTGACAACAAAAGGTTTTTATGATTTTTTATCGTGGGTTACAAAAATACTCATTTGAACAGTAGATTGATTTAAAAAAAGTGACAACAAAAGGTTTTAGGGTTTTTTGTGGGTGGGGGGGGGGGACTGTGACTTCGAAGGGTTAAACATGCAAAACTGATGTTGTTGAAGAAAAATCAATGTTGAAAAACAACATTAAAAACACCCGAGGCCTAACTAAACTAAAAGTTAGAACATCAAGCTGAAATTATCTGGTAAACTCTGGTAAACTCGACTGAAATTATCTGCCTTTAATATTTACAGTATAAAAAAGGCCACCCCACCATTCAGAAGGATTGCGTTATTAATCTACTTTCCAGTGTGATTCTGGCTACGTAGGACACACAATTCAACAATCTGGCTACGTTGGGCATCCTCAACAGTCATGTGCTCAACTGGGTATTTTATTCCTAACGTAAATTTTTCGATCTATTTTCTGATGTTTTATACTCTGAAGAGTACCAGACAAAAAGCTGAATTATGACTCAAAATGTTTGCTTTCATCAAAGCCATTTTAATTTTCAAAAAAATTCGAAAAAAGGGTATATTTCAACTGCTACTTCCTGAGTGTGAATCTGTATGGGATTTGCCGAATATTTGAATAACCTTTAGCCTTCAAACTTAAGTGTAGTTGCCATATTTCTTTCGTGTATCATGGAAGTTTCTTTTTGCAAATTTTTAAGGGCAGTCAGACCAAGGGCTCAATAAGTTGAGAGGAAAACTGTCGCAAGACACGCAAACCTGTTCTCAATTGTTCTCGTTTTAAGGAAATTTATTTTTGAGGTGAAAACATACTTCAATATTTCTCACCTTGCTTCCCAAATGTTCCTCCAGTTTTGCCACCTCTGACACATTGCCGTCTGCTTATTTCTAATTTCTTCCGGACTATGATGTTTTAATGACAATTCTCCAGATTGATGTCAGCAAGGCATCAAATTAGTGGTCTTGAAATTGGCGAGCCCTATATGTCAAGTAAAACGATAATGATCATTTCTACGATATGTTTTCTTTGCAACTGAATTTATCGACAATCAGGGGCGTAGCTAGTGGGGGGTGTTGGGGGATGTGACACCTCGTAACCGTTTTACGTTAGTTTTTCGGTAAAATCGTCCGTCGGTAGGTTAAAAGGCACCTAATTGTTCCTCATTATATTTCTTCGTCAGCAAATTTTACTATTGACGACCCTCCAATGCCACTGTCGACAATTATAAAGGAAATTTTGTAAAATTTTGATTCTGAAATTTTATTCGAGAACTTCTTTTTGCTTATCATGGGCAAAGAACGTATTTACATACATGGTGATAATACCGACAGGGGTTATTAAGTATCGACGAGGGATTATCGCCGTCGAAAGAAGTTTAGGTCGTAACTGAAAGCTGGTCGAAACCAACCACCCGGTAGCTATAAGTCTCGCGTGAGGAAGCGTAGATCCGCCAAATTCACATAATTATGCAAGTAAACAAAGGTGATAATTAATGAAGCTGGTTACAACCATGCCTTAGAAATATCAGCTACGATCACCGGTGGATCTTTTCTGTAACCGCTATCCCTGCAATGGTAACATAGTCATTCCAGATTATTTTTGAGATAAATCTCTATGTTTAAAACTTCCGGTTTTTAAATTGTATCTAGCCTCTATATTGGATAATATTTGTCGACAAACATTGTATAGGATATTAAACCTGTTCTCTTCTTACGTCAAGTTGGTCTATAAAGCGTCACACAAAATCTGCAGGAGGAAACCAAGGTCTTTAGTTAAAAATCTTTAAAATTCTTTGAAATAATTGACATAATATTGATCGACCGCAGTGAAGTTCGAAGCTATAGTAACCAGTTTATTGGGTAAAGGGACACGGATTGACGACCTTTTAAAGCCATTTGGTACCATTTTATTCAGGCTGATGTCAGATATGGAGTGTGAGTTACTGGCGTAACTAAGTACGCGGAAAAATGGAAGAAACGAAACGAAACGAGCGGACGTTGATTCCAGAGAAGCTCGAATTCCTTGGCCACAGAGGCGATGGCGGTTACACGGCAGGTCGCAAGCAATGGGCTTGGAAGGCGAAACTCCACGTCATGCTATCATGTTGCGCTGTTTCGTTGGCATTGTTTATTCTTGCTGTCTTCCTGATAAAGCACAACTTGAGATTCGAAGTAGATCACAAACCCTCAACGGAGATAGCTCATGTGTCGCTGCAGTTTTGTGGAAATCACTCTGGGCGTGGCTGTGCAGGTATGTTCACCTTCTACGCTTCTTAAAAAGTAATATATTCCATCTTACCTGGGAGGAAATAAAATGCAGAGATACTGTGATAACGACTCGGTTGTGAGAACAAATTAACTGATCTAGAAGTTGGATAATATAAAGTATATATAGAGGTGCAAAAGAGGCGCGTTTTCTATATAAGAAAACTGAGCTTAGGAATGTACTCGGGCTCTAAATTTTGTTGTCGATTTTAGTAAGGCAAGAAAGCGTAGCATAAAGTGATAAAGACAGAAAGTCAGTGATAAATGATCTGCACATTTACAATATAAAGACGAGAAACAGTTTAAAAGTACTGACGAAATTACAATTATTTTTAAAGGATGGGAGTTATTTGTTATTTATCAGCTTTCGATGAAAATCCTTGCCCCTTGATACCTTTGTCTTGCGTGCATTACTCTTTGTCAACCCATTGCTTCTCTGATAAGCCAAAAAATGGTAGAGGTCGATTTCTGAGCCCTAGAATAGTACCATGTGGCTACATGCTCGAAGCTTTAGCGAATGGAGGTCTTTGTGTCAAGCTATATTGGATTTCGAGAACACAAGAAGGGAGTAATGACCAACGTCATTTCTAATTGCTCCAGTGAAAGCAAAAACGTCAATACTTTTTTATATGTTCTACCTGAATCTGAACGGCAGGGGTGATGGAAAGTAATCCGTTGTATAATTATTGTATACGATCAGGTTTGTGAGGCAAGCAGCAGGCTATTCTTAAGCCTTTGTTTAGATGACGTCATGCGTTCGTCTCTTTCTCTTTATATGTGAATAGATGGAGCTTGTCGTATTAAGCGTCATAATACGGAAATAAATTTGGCCTAAATTTGCTAGGAAATATCGAATCTTTCTAAGAATTTGTCTGTTATTCGACACAAACTACAAGATGTTCACACCATGAAGTGCAATTTAATGTGTCATTCTCTCTGCTTTAATCAGTTCTTACGCATTTCCAACATCGGCATACGTCTCTCATCTCAGATCTGCCTAACTGGATCAGATAGAAGGCGTATTATCTTAATTCCAAGACATCCGGAAGAAAATTCTTTATTTGTTTTAAGATTGAAATTTGTAATTCCATCTAATGCACTATTGTAAACTCGTTGTTATGTTGTTACGAGTCAGTTTACTGTGTTTTATAAAAGTTGTTTTTTCTAATAACGAAAAAGAATCGCAGACATTCAGACCGCATCTAGTATTTGGAGAAACAAACTTTTACGACGTTTTGGCACATAATGGCACAACCGTAATGTGTACCATCCTCAGAGACTAAGCGGACCGTAGTTCACATACCTTTTTGGCACTATTCGTAGTTTGATGGCTCTTATTTTGATCTCAATAGCTGGTTTTTATTACAGGTGAAAGTTGTTCATTGTCTCGCATCAGACGCATTGTTGATGGAGTGATATCGCCGGACGGCTCATGGCCATGGATGGCTGAAATCATTTATTCTAATAAGCACTATTGCGGTGCTGTTCTAATCTCAAAGAACGTAGTCATGACAGCAGCACATTGTCTCTATCGCCACGAAGAGAGGCTTTACGAAGCTGACTTAAAAATAAGACTTGGTGAGTAAGATTTTGAGATTAATCGCCTTTTGGAAGACCTTTTTGTTGTATCTCAGAGGTTAATTGAGTGGTGTTATGGTCGTTCATTTGACCTAAAAATGTACCTTTTTCGGCAGTAGAGCTTCTAGCTTTGATAATCTCATCATTTGCTCTACAACAATCTTATAGGTATCGTCAGCAATATTTCTTTAGGATCTGACCCCACAATATATGGGTAAAATTTGGGGGAATCGAATTAAGAGCTATTGACTGTTCTGACTACATTTGTTCAAATGTAGGGTTTTTTGTCTCACAAAAAGGTGTAGCAATGTTTGAAGAGCCTGCTATATCTTCATGAGCAAATATTTTAGAATATTTTATTATTATTGAATAGAATAATAGCTCCGTATTTTTCAAGCACGTTTTTTTCAATTTTCTCATTACAAAGATCCATACATTATGTGCTGAATTTCCACGCCTCTTATCGGCGACCTTCTTTTAGAGACACGACGGTTGGGTCACACAACGGGCTATCAGCTGAACCTATAAACCTACCACGGCCAGAAATGTCTGAAATTGACCCAGGTTATGCAAGGTTCTGAATAAGTTATCTAAATTTGATTCGTATGATTCAGACATCTAAGCATTTTATAAAACCTCAAATCAGCTTGGCCATGATTACTTTAAGACGCTTTGGACTTTTATAGCAAAGGATGCGATCTTCTTAATGAAAATAAAACGCTCTGTGATTTCGTGAATTGCTGCTGGCTTAGAACTGATAAAGCTACAATTGTGGCCGAAACTCCTTAGCTTATACTGAATTAAAACTTTGGCATACTATCACTTTTTCCCAAGAAAAATTAGGACATATCAATTTCTCCCCTCCCCCTATATCAATGTTGGTGTCGTTTGAGAGCTAAATGTCCCAGCATTCGATTTTAGCCCATACAAACACCCCAACATTGATATAGAGGGGAGGGGGTCACGTTGAATGAGAAATCCATTGCATTTGGGAAGCAGTCGAGTTTTTTCCAGGATTGTAGGATTCCGAATGATAGGACCATGTAAGCAATTGTTTTTCAATCATGACTGGACAAGAGAAAGTGTTCCGCTTTATGCAATTAATAGTCATTGTTTATTATTTTGAAGTTATTTTCTTTATATATTTCGTGACATTTTCAATATTTTCAGGTATTTTGTAGTTGTTTCTAAGGGCTTTGTGTACAGCCTTCTGGCAATTTTTTCCTGATTATTCCCCCCCATCCTTTTGATGATGAGAAACGTGCATCGTCTTTAGTGGAGTTATGGATGTTTTTGGCTGTGGCATAGTAAAGTAGTGTAGTATAGCATTAAAGTGTAGAATTAAGTTGCTGCAGTACAATGTTAGTAGTGAAGTTAAATATATAACTGTTTGGTTTTTTGTCTGTGACTATTTGTGATCAACTGATTGGTTGATTTATGTTTTGAATTATAGCCTTTTTAGATTTAATACTTCTGTTTATTGTTTATGATAAATTTGCTTATTTCAAAAATGTACATCATTAGTATTAGTGAATTGTTCCTCGTTTCTGTCAAACACCTATTTATGTTTTTATGTCTGCCCCAAACAGAATTTGGAATAGTTATTTTGTTTGGACCAAAACCTATGCTGTCAATTATGAACTTGCCATATCTACTTCTGTAAAGGCTAGTTTTTCGCAATGTCATAAATCTATATAAGAAAACTTTGATCTTACTATTCTATTCTGTTTTATGGCTTTTCTATCTTTATTGGAATAGGTATTAGAACATACTCCATGAAAATGAATTTACGCTATAAAAATTTCCTTTTTCATTTGACTTCATCGCCTTGCGACAAATATTGAAACTTGACGTTTTCCCTCTTACTCCATACTACATGAAAATAAATTTATGTTATAAAAATTTCTTCTTTCAACTTGACTTCATCGCCTTGCGAGACATATTAACGCTTGACCTTTTCCCTAGTATTCCTGTTTATTTTGTCGTTTCAGTTTAATTTGCTTACAGTGTACCAGCGATCTCGTTCAACATAACAGGTTTTAGCATTTCATTTCATTTAAAATTAAACGGGGTCTTAATTATTACAAACGCTTGCGAAAAAAGGAATATTTACGCGTCCTGGCTCCAAGCAAGGAATGTTTTAACACACAAACAAACGACTTTGAATTGCCCAAACTTGAAGATGGGCTTGATCAAAGCCACGCAATGTCGATACCATCTAATTTTATGCCGATAAATTTTGTCCGCATCAAAATTAGTTCAAATAGGCGTCGCGTTTACACTAGACCCACGCTATCTGCACGAATTTGAGAGCGGCTATCCGAACAAAATTAGTTCACCTAGGAAAATGGATTAAATTAGTTCGGATAGCTATGTGGTACAGTGTAAACGGTTTTATCCGGATAAATTTTATACACCTCATATCTTGCTCGAAAGCGATTGGCTATTTCATCCTTTTTAGTTTTCACTGTCTCCCTTTCGCCATCTTGGCTGACTTGTAGTCGATAAATACTCGTGTTAAAAGTGCAGTATTTTCGTCAGGCATCCTTGTCGGCTTTCCCTACTTTCTTCGCTATTTCAGCGTCATTTTGTTTCTAAGAACGAATTATTAAAACCAACTTTGCCTAATTTGCTTTGACAATATCTTCGGACTTCGTCTGAAATAGAAGCAGGCGATTCTGAAGAGAAAATGAAAAGTCTCTTTACGTTGGCGGGAAATTTGTTGTTATTTTGTTGCCCAGAGATGACTTCGTTTTGGGCGTTCTGCGCATGATTTAGGTCATGTGACTGCAGTTATCCGACACAGTGTAAACGGGAGAGCAAAGTGGGCAAAATTTGTGCGGCACAGTGTAAACGCAAATCAATCCGAACAAATTTTATGCGGATAAAATTTATCAGGCACAGTGTTAACGGGGTCTAAACATTTGCGAGTCTGTTAAACCGCTGTAAAACGGAGGCTGTTAAACCACTTTCTTGAGGTAGTTTTACGGTAGCCTGAATTTATTTTCCTTTCGAAAGCTTTTTAGGTATGCCAATTTAAACCCTTCTCTTCGTTGATAGTAACGGAACACAGTACTTAGTATTCCATTTTAAGACATTATGTTATCTGTTCTCAAGCTAAGGTTTTAATTTCCTTTCAGGGAGCCATAAAAAACTAGATACAAGTCGAACAACACAAACTCTCAAAATAGCAGACATTCACATTCACCCAGCCTTCGAACTTTCAACACTACGCAATGACATTGCTTTAATACGCTTAAAGACGCATGTAAATCTCACCAAATCAGTATGGCCGATCTGTCTTTCTGCTAGAAAGAGTATTGAAAAGACAGCGAACGCAGTTATGATTGGTAAGACAGCATGTTTTCAGTGGAGGCTTCAATTTCGTGAGACCGGTCTGGTAACGACAGTCGTGAGCCCGGCTAATTTCTTGTATCATGATGGGCATAGGATCATGGCCGATAAGAGACCCTGGCGGTGCAAGCACGATGACGGCGGGAAACTAGAGTTACGGGAAGTCGCTTGGAATTTGTTGTACCCCATTGTTGGGGTTTAGTGAGGCCGTACGATGTGATCGGGGTATTAAACTGACTCGCCCTGTGGCTCATGGCGTGGTAAAGCCTGGAGAAGACTAGAGGTCTGTGTCCGGAGCCGGTGGGAAGGCGTTGGAGAAGCAATTCAATGCGAATAATCGGGTAGGATAGTTCGACATCCGTTAGAGGCCGGCCGGGGTACAGTTAGGTGCAGAGGAGGTGCTTCGCCCCTTCGTGGTGAGTCTCAATGTACGTGGTGACAGGTGACGGGGTTGCCTGCATTGTGATGCTGCGCTGCCCAGAGACGATCAAGGTCTACGGTTTGCTAGCACATGGGCCCAAGTGGCTCGTATGGCATCGGTTGTGTGAGACAAGACGGTTTGAAGTGTTGGTTATGCC